TGCTGCTCATCGTGACGGGCGATGCGGCGCAGGCAGTTCCTGAAAAAGCAGAACAATCGAAAGATGAGCTTGGGCCAACAAACAGTAAACCAGTAGAGCGTGTGCAGGGGAACCAGTTTGGACAATAGACAGATGTGATTGGGGACCAGTCGCTGGAGAACGGCCAGCGTCGTTAAGTCTGCCGCGATCCGACTTCCGCCACTTGAAACCTTCTTTCTTCGATGCTCTCGGCTGGGGATGGGTGCGCCTCGGCGCTGGCCAACGTGGCGGATGATAGATATGAATTGGTTTCTATGCAAATCAGATATTCGCTGGCGTTGTCGCAAATTCGATTTGTATAAAATGGAAACCTGTTGTGCCTTTGTACCTGACAGTGCTCGTGTGGCTCTTAAAACAAAAAGCCCAGACGGACGGACAGAAAGATTTCTATTTTCGGTTTGCGAAGCCAATTTAACCTGTCCACGTGCTGTCGAGGGGCAGACGGCGGTGGGGGTGGGGAGGGCAAAGCCCCGGCTCTGCTCACCAGATCCCAAGTAATGGTTATACAATCCTAGCCGGTCTCATTAACTTTAATTTCAATAAAAGATCGCGTAACATCGTTGGGTCAAGCCCCATAAACTGGACCCCAGCCATTAACCCGCCGGAGATGGGGAACTAGTCTCCGGTATCTGGAGCTGTAGCGGCCAAAGTCTAGAGGCGGATCGGCTTATCGCTGTCAGACGGTTCCCAGACGCAGCTGGAGTTGCGTATCTCCCGGGCCTCCCGTTTGCCACAGAGATTGCCCAGCCCAAAACGTGGCCAGCCAGTGCGGGGCCGCGTGATCGGATCGCAGCTAGTTGACAGAACGAGCGCCGAGCGCACTGATAAATTTAGTTCTAGTGAATGCGCCATTTAAAGACCTCTACCCTACACTTCTACAACGCTCCGCCCGCCCCCGCGGCCCTGGCGAGCAAACTTAGACAATCTAGATATCGATGGCTGAAGTGTAACGAGGGCCGGCCGGGGTGGGGGTGGCCACGCGAGCGCTGCGTGCTCCGTGCCTCGAGCTCCCCTGACCGACATCGCCCCACTGGGGCTAGAACCAGAACCAGATCTAGATCTAGCAGCGCGGCAGACGGGTGTCAAGGTTTTTTCCTCTGGCACGGCCAGACGTCGTGGACGGCGTCGGAGGATTCCCAGCCACTCGGTGACTAATTAAGCTAATTGCGTTGGATTCCAATCGTGGAAACCGGCGTAGGAATGCGAAAACAATTACCATCTTATCAACGTTTTTCGCTCTCGGACGCTCGGCCATAATAGATTGCTTGATTGCTGTCTCATGAAACTCTGAATAATCACCTCAATTTAATTTCAATTATAGCTATTTGTTAGTGCCCCCTGACCGCGACCCTGCCTTGGGAAAGGTGCTTCTAATCAGGCGCCGCTCGAAAGCTGGCCACGCGCCAGGCCCACTCATCAATGGACGCTGTCGAGCCAGCAGTTCTTCTCATCGATCTCCTCCCTAACCGCTCCCGAGAACCCCAAACGCCGCCGGTTCTGTTTGGGAAACACGCCACACGCTGCCAACCAATTGGAGGGCTCGCACACCTGCTGACTGCTCCCCGATCCGACCCGCTCCTCCGTACCCTAGGTGGGAATTGGGCTAAGCCCGGCCAGCGTCACGCGACATGCGCGAAAGGAAGGGCGGAGAAAGGGGCAGGGAAATGGGAGGGCGAAGTACGGCATACAACGCCGAAATCAGGCGACTTTTTCATTGAGCGGCAGCTGAGGGCGGCAGGGGGTGGCGGGTGGCGGGTGGGTGGTGGTGAGCTGGGCTGGCTTCGTGTGGCAGCCTCTCTCTTTCGGGCTCGCTCTCTTCAGCCCGTGCGATTTCTCTTCGCTGCCGTGTGGCGTGATGTTGCCAGAAACTGTACGATGTACATTGTACAGCGTACGTATGCGATGACCAACTGAGAGTCGCCTCCGTCAGCTGAGCAAGATGAATGAATCGCTGGCGATGCTCTGCCCTGCTCCCGCTGCCCCACTGCCTCCGCCGCCATGTTTTGTGGTATTTCTCGTATTTGCAATGTTGGGCAATGGCATATACATACGAATACGCAGTCTTTGAACCGAATTGACCAATATTTGGTTGGCGCTGGCTGCGCTTCGACCTCCAGCATAATCGATATTTGATACGCCCGCAAATTAGATATTCTACCTACTCGGTGGCCGGGCTTGTTTGGCCTCCGGCTGTGGGCTTTGGGCTCTGGCCAGTGGCGGCCGCAGCCGTAAGTTGCCGTTCAAGGCGACACCTGCCTCAAAAAGTGACACATTGCTGGCGAGTGCGAGGTGAATCAGAGAGTTCTCTGGGACTTGAGCGGCCCAAGGAGGTCGGATGGTATAGGTACCCGATGAGTAATGGCTATTACCGATAACTGGCGCACTAGTGTCAGTCGGCCGGGGGGAAGTGCGATGTAGATAGTGCCTTATCGCTCATCCCAAAGCTGGGCCCCTGATTTGCCCCTGCTGGCTCACTCGAAACATTTAGGCAAACAAACAGTGAAAAAACGCCAACATATTTCTGTATAGGTGTACAATATATAGCCGATTGTGTCATATTAGCGCTGGCTTGGTTTTTTCTTTCGTGTTTGAATTGGCCGTCCCTCCGTCCACCGTCCACCAAAAAATCGTACGATAAATATCTTGTATCTCGTTTTTCGTTCCGTCGGTGTCGGTGCAAACGAATCGAAAGAGAAAACGCACGCGGGGTGCGGTTGGTTTGGATTCAGTTTGAGAGGAGAGTGTAGAGTGAGTCCACAGAAGAGAGGAGAGCGCCTGAGGTGGGGCGAGGGCAGGGGCGGATCGGGCCCCGGGGGGATCAATTTAGCATCACTTTAGGCAAATTGAACTTAAACGCTTCAACTAGCGCACTCGGATTCAACTCACCGACTTGTCTCCAGCTTGGTGAGGTCTGTGTATCCGCTCATGATGGCTCTGTATCTTCTGAGTTTTCCGGATGATGTGTACTGCTGACACAATTGATTGGGGAATTTTCTTTGCTTTCGGTCGCACCAACACTCGCGCACTTTCACTCGCGTTCGGAATCGGAATATTCCTGGCTGGGATTATGAAATCTCCACAGGTGATTTGATTTGACTTGGTTTGGTTGAGTTGAGTTGAGTTCGCTCGAGTTCAGTTGCAGTAGTGCTGGGTCTGGATCTGGATCTGAATCTGGACTGGAGTAGCTGCTGGCCCGGCGGAACTCTGACTAGTGCGCTGCCTCTCAAGAAGTCGCGGCTGTTTTATGCCAAAAATTTGCATGCACGCACCGAGCTTGATAAGACCACGACTTTGGCCGTCGGTCTCGTCCGATCCAATTAAAATACGTAGGAATTCTAAACAGTCTGCACGCGCACCGCACCGATTCGATTTGCTTTAATTTCAATTTCAATTGATTGCGACGAGCACAGCACCGCGCCAACGAGAGATTTTCCAAAAATTACAGAGAGGGAGCGCCGCGGGTTGCTTTTATAGTGTGCGAGCAGCGCCAGGGCTACGACGCTCCGATAGACCCAGTGTTGCCCTTTCAGCAATTTTACCACCAGGTCTAGCGGGATAATTTTTAAAATTCCGGCTAGCGGGACTTTTTTTCTGAAAATAACCTGATACTTTGTGTTTTTGTGCTTAGGCCCAAGCTTCTTAAACATAAGCTTTCTCCCCTTGACTGGTTTTGCATTGTACCATATTTGAATAAGGGATGAACTTTATTATGATTTTATAAAGAAAGTGTTGAGCCAAACAAGTATCACTGGAAATCTGATATTACGTAGCATATCACTAGTGATTTGATCAGCAACGAAAGATGGTGGGTTCAGCTATAGTGGAACACGCGCTAGTTCCGGCACTTGTTTGTCGGTAAAGGGAGTGGGTTTCCAATTTGATCCACAACTCTACCTGCTCGCATATATACAACGATCCTATTTAAATTCACGTGCGAACCTGCATTGGGGCTTATTGCAAAAGGGATCTAGTAGAGAATGGGGTATAGAGAGAGAGAATATCTGAAAAGAATGGTGCTGCCCAGATGGTTTGCCCACCCTACCATGATCACCGCAGCCGCATTAAAATTGAAGCAATTCGTAATTATAATAAGTTTAATATGAGATAGGTAATTCTAAGAAAAAGTAGAATTAAATTTACAAAGATATTTTTTATAACATCTTTAAATATATTTCATATTCAATAAGTATATCTCACTCAAGACCAGCTAAATGAAAAAAAGTAATATTTTACAATTACAGCTAAAGAATTATTTTTAGTTATAATATATTCATTTAATTTTAAACATACTTTTTTTAGCTAGCATTATAAGTTTTTCTGGCTATTTCTACATAGTATAGATAGTGTACACTTTTTATGACTCGAAAAGTTGACAACTCTGGATAGGACTATCGATGTGCTAACAGATGCTTTGTTAAACACGGAAATCCGTTAAAGTATGTTAATAGTTTAAGATAATTTTGGATTTTGTAAAGGCATGTGCAACACTATTTTTACACAACAACACAAAAAACATATTCTTAAAATTATTGGAAAATGTGTAAATAGGATTTTGTTCTGATCATCAATACTTATCTTCATGCCAACATTTTTTCAAATCGGACCATTCATTAATTTAAAATCAAACAACATGCGAAAATTTGGAAATAGCCGATTGGCTGCATGCATATGTATCCCGCACTTCCTTTATATGAGTGGCGGGTATTTGATAGTCGTCGACTATAGCGTTCCTTCTTCGTTTAGTAATAACAATGTAACAATTTCATTGAACATCATATACAAATATTGTAATACCTTTTCTGAATCGGCACTTCAGAAATACGTGGAAAACTTCTCACAAACTCTAGATTCCTTATACTTGAAAGTCATCCAATGATAATGCCGGAACTTGACTTTTTACAGCTCTAAGTAGCCTTCTCCAAAGAGTCCTATCCTGGCACTTTTAGTGAACTTAATTTTTTTCCTATGTCAGCCGCTGGATATCATTTCGCTTTCGCTTGCTAATCCTCTTCGAACAGCATTGCAGACTCCTTTCTTTTTTGTGACCTATGACAATAAAGAGTAATTAAGGAATTTGACGCAAATTCTAGTTATAAGCGCTTACTGAACACTCGAAGAACGTAAAGTCCAGAGTAATGCTCTTGACGGACTTCGGCTTCCCTCAGAGCACTTGGAATTTTAAGGACACATTTATACATTTCCAACACTTGGTCCCGGGTCAACACGTCTAACATGTTCAGTTCGGGGTCCCAGAAGAAAGGAAGAATTCCTAGCCGTAAACGCTCCACCAGGTCGTCAAACATCTGAGGAAATTTCAAAAACACGTTAATTTAGAAGCGCAACAATGGGGGACAGTTTTGCTTACATCGGGCAAAATTGACGTTAGCGGTTCCTGCCAGTAGGACTCTGGTTCATAGCTAAGCTTCCAAAGAAACAAAGTTTAATGTAGTAGCTCTTGAGGTTGCTTAAGTTGGTCTTAACATCGCGAAATTTTTTCATAAGCTTGATTGCATCCCGACAATTCTCGTGGCCACCCCTCAGCATTGCCCTCTCGGCTGAGTAAAACGAGGACCTAAATGATATGCTGCTGGTCTGGGTCTGGGTTTTCAGGGGCTTGGGGATCGCATCCCAGTAAGCTAAGTTCGCGCGTTCAAAGTATATCAACTGGTCCGCGAGCAACACGTTCTGTTCGAATCCCAGGCGGATGGCAGGTACGAAGTCGACCGAGTACTCCAGCTCCCCCTCCACGAAGATGGTGTGCGCCGGCCCACAGGTCCTATACTTAAGCACAGACACGATGCCATCCACCTCCACGCGATCCGCGATCCGATTGAGCGCTTGGCTAAATAGGCTCTGGAGCCAGGAACGGAGCTTGTCTACGACGAGAAAGTTTTGCGAGTCCACGAGTTGAAGCTGAAGTAGTTTTAGGATGCTCTGGTGGTCCTCGCGGGGATCATCTTCAAGAAGTTCTAACACGCGCGTCATATCGAGAAATACGTTGCCCGGATAATTCGAATCTCGCGTCACGACGATGCTTTCGTAATACGGTATTTGTAACCTAAATACCAAGTCGAATTCGTTGGGTTTCGCGACTTTAAGCATATCACCCGTGCTCCCTGTAAAATTTAACGAAAACTACGCGGTAAGTAACGGTCGAAAAACGCGGCGCGGCGGATAAAGGCGGGACGCGAGGAGCAGGGATTCGATTCGCGGACTTAAGACAATGACCGGATTTTTAAAGTACGCCAAAAACACGTTATCTTTACGACCGTACTGCACTTGATACCGATTCGTGGCCTTAAGACAATTACTGGATTTTGATAGTGCGCCAAAAACTTTTTATCTTTACGACACTATTGCACTTGATATCGCGGTTCCAAGTACTCTGACTCACGGTTAAAATGGGATGGGGATAAGGAAGGTGTGTGGGTTGCAGTTCCGGCTAAAGTTCAGCCAAGGTCCAGCGAATCCATGCGAGGGGATCCGCTGGGACGGCTACCTGATCATACCTTCCAAACTGTACTCCGCGATGAGGCTGTCCAGCTGGGCATTCTCCGATCTCAATATCCCGAATATTATAGAATGCAACGCTTCGAAATGCTTACCATATCTTTCTTTCTCCCACTCCGGAATGGCTATGTACTTACTTTTACATAAATCTATAGTTTTACTTAAGATGTCTTGGAACCTCATTTTTTGCTTAACCATGTTGTTACCTTTATACATATTTTCTTTCTTTTATAATTAAGCTACTAATATCTGATCGACTTTTGGGTTCTCTTGTTGGGGACGTAGTGACTGACAATGGCATCCACATGTAGCCTGTCTGATCGCAAAAGCTTAAAAGCCACAGCTGGAACAGAACTCGAAGCTTTTTTAGTATTTGGAACGCATATTGTTTTAAGGGGTTAGAGCACTTGTATCGAGAAAGTAGCCATTGATTTTGTTTTCATGTTCCGGTTTTTGCGCCAAGACCCTAATATTAATTTTATAATGTTTCGTTTGGAACAAAGTAAAACAAATTGATTGATAAAAAAAATTCAAAATGTAAGACCAATTTAAATATTTAGCGAAAACAATTTTTTCTTTGCGAAGCATATGTAGATTGTTATCTAAACAAAACAGTCAGTCTTGTAGTTTAGGTAATGTATTTTGCCGAATTAAGGCGAGAAAATTTTAAGCAACATTTTTTGCAGTTCAGGACGCGAAGTCATCCACATAGTGTGGCCGAAAGAGACCGCTATTATCACCTGTTCACTCGACATCCAAACAATGACTACATATTTTCATTTAAAAAGCTATACATTTATATTTAAAAAATTACTGAAATTACCCAGAAACAGATTTATGTATGTTGGACAGAAATTTCACAACAAAATCCGTTTTACAGGTGATAACAGAGATGACTAACCATCTCTTCCACCCCAAGAAGGCAAAACAAAACATTAAAACTATCAAAAATCAAATAGAGTTTGAATAAAAAACGGTGCGAGCCCATTAGTAAAAGTAAACAGAAAGTACCTTGCCAAACATGCATTACCTGCATTTGGCTTATGATTAACTGCCAATTTTTCCTTACTAGTTTAAACCTTTCCCTTTATACTTGTTTAAACCCTAATAGCCTTTCTAGGAATCCAAATGAACTTCGTCATTTAATCAGAGAGTCATTGCTATAAAAATAGTTGAAAATCGTTACGTGGAATAACAGGTACTAATGCAATAGGATATTTTTTAAAAACAATTTTACGGTTTCAAAATTTAGTAATCTTTCAACTGATTGCACCAATGTTTTCGGGTATATGCAGCTTGATATGTTTTAGCAACACAATTAAGCACCGTCATCCAAATTCCCATGCACAGATTACGGCCATTAATAAGCGGGAGCGTTTCACGTTTGTACAAAATCATTTCGGCCAAACTAAAGGTGTTTTATTCAGATGACAAACAGTACTATCAATATGGGGTACCTCGACTAGCGAGGCCGGACTGCTTAGTGTCCCGCGGTGGCGGCCTTGGCGGCGATCTCGTCCTCCTTAGCGTGCAGGGCGATGAGCTCCTGCTTCTTGGTGGCGATGCGCTCCTCGCGGCGCTTGCGGGCCTCGCGCACCTTCTGTCGGCGGGCCTCAGCCTGGTCAGCCAGCATCTTGCTGCGCTGCTTCTCGGCCTTCTTCTTGTGGATGTACTCCATGAGGACGCGCTTGTTCTTGAACACATTACCCTTGCACTTCATGTACAGGTCGTGGTACAGGTGCCTGTCGATCTTCTTGCTGTCGCGGTACTTCTTCAGCAGGCGGCGCAGGACGCGCTGGCGCTGCATCCACACCAGCTTGGTGGGCATGCGGGCGTTTGCCGTACCCTTGCGCTTTCCGAATCCGCAGTGGCGGCCCTTGCGGCGCGCCTCGGTGTTCTTGCGCACACGGTAGCGGGAGTGGACCACGACGGGCTTCTTGATGATCAGACCATCCTTGATCAGCTTGCGGATGTTCTGACCTGCAGTGGGAAGAGGTTGCGTTAGTGGGAACATTTGCTTCGTCTGGGCTTAATCATGTACTTACGCGAGTTTGTGTTGGCGATCTCGTTGATCTCATTGGGGTCCAACCAGACCTTTTTCTTGCCGCATCGCAGTACGGAGGCTGCGAGCCTCTTTTGGAGCTTTAGAGAACTGCAAAGGAGGGGTATTTGTTAGTCGGCTAAGTGGAAAACAGCGTGCTGCGATATGCATGTGTGTGTGTGTGTAGGTGAGCGGCGCACGTTGGTAATTTCACAATTGCCGGAAAAACTGAACTGCACTCGTCCACCGGGACAGCCGCGCGGCACGCCCCCGCCCCTGCACACTTTGCACACATTTTAAAACCGCGAGCGCTTCATTTCGGGCATATTTACAAACTCAAAACTACCTCATGCTGTCGACCCTTGCTAATCGTGGCTCGGCTCGCTGGGAAAGAATTTGACAGCCGGAAGTCAGCAAATAGACCGTCTGTTCGACGTAAGTACGTAAGCAAAACGTAAGTGTCAGCAAACGTAAGCTATCGATGCATCGATAGGCGGGTAGGTCTGGCAACGCCGCACTAATATATTTGTAATAAATAAAGCCTAGTAATCAGATCGGCAAAGAGTTTCACTAGTCGAAAAATCTTATTCTTTGGAGTATGACCGAAGTTTTCAAAGTTCACCCGCAATGCGTGTGGCAGGGTCTTACTGTCATGCAGCTGGGCTTGTTCCCAAACAGAAAACAAATCAAATCTTGAACCTTTAGGATGTGGGAGCCGAATTGGGAACGGGGTTGTTTCGCCTGATGCTGCATGAAGTCGCCCAGCATCCTAGTAATGGCTGGTGATGGCTCCTCCAGCTGCCCTATTCCTCCTCCCTATAGAAGCCGGCGCGTCGTCCATCTCCGCTTTAGCTGCCAAGGTGGTTGAGGTGGAGTCCTCAATGGAGAGCTCGTCGGAGATCGAGCGATGTCCCATGTTCCTTCCCACTGGAATTATCTATTGGATCTCCTCCAGCACTTTAACTATTGTGCGGATTTGCCCCGCTGTTGTATTGCTTTCTTTCGGTAAACAACGGTCCCAAAATAACGGGCAACAGCTTGTATTCGGCGTCCTTTTTCATCTGCCCTGACCTCCTTAGGCATTTTTTTTTGCATTTTTAATTTTTAAATTTCCCACGAACACCGCCAAAGACTAAATTTCTTATTCTTTGGGCCGCGGCTAACGGCGTTCATCGAAATTCACTCGCGAAATCTGGTATTTTTTCTGGTATTTCCTTAGCTTATCTGAGTACCGCGTTGAAAAACAGACCCGACGAAAAACGTTAGCTGCGTTTTTGCCTCTCGCTCACTCCTATGGTTAGCTCGAGGTTTTCGTCGAATTCAAAAATTTAATGCTTTGATGTATCCCATGGAATATACATACTCCATTCAGCGTTTGGAACTGTTGCGAAATCGGTTTGAAATTCATAATGTTTGAAACTAAAAAGGAAAAAAACGGAAAGGCTTAAAATAAAGGCTCCATATAAATGGGGGTTTTCCTGTTGGGCTCCCTAAAAAATTGTTTTGAAAATAGCTAGGCTGGCAACACTGGTCTGCTGTGTTTGCATCGATAGCTGCACTTCATAGTATCATGACTTTAAGCACAAAAATAAATTATGAATACTTTTTGAACTTTCCATTTCGTAAACATTTGTAATATTAAAGTTTAAAAATGGCTAAAAACTGGCACATTTGTTTCTTTAAATAGCCAGAGTAATAGCCAAATTTGACCTGAATACAGCAAGTTGGCAACACTGGTGAAAACCTTATGTTACCTCTACTGCGATAATAACATTTTTTAAATCAAAGCAGAATTGCACCGCTGAAAGTGCAACATTCGATATGCAGCACACTCTAAGACGCTGCCTGGGCATGGCCCGGTTTTCCCTGACGCGTCTGCAGCCCAGACCCATGGTGGCAGCCTCCGGGACACAGGATTCGCGCGGCATCCCGAACCCCACACAGCCGGCAAGGCGGTCCTATGCATCCGTGCCGCAGGAGCAGGATAAGAAGGAGCAGGAGGCCAGGGAGAGCCCCAACCGACTGCCCCGGCTCATGGACTTCCCCGAGATCGTGTGGCCCTCGGCGCTGAACACACTCAAGAACTGGATCACCATCCAGTTCATCATCCGCCCGTACTTCGACAGCGAGTTTCAGCTGAAGGACTTTATTTACGGCGCCAAGCAAGCCCTGCAGGTGGGTCAGGTTCCGTCTATCATGGACCCTTCTAACTGAATACCCGGCAGGTGGTGTCCTCAAGACTGATGGGCGGTGACCTGGACTCGCTGGACAAGCTGGTTTCGCCCGAGGCGATTGCGGAGCTGCGGCCCGTCATCCAGAAACTTTCGATGACGCAGCGGCGGCAGTTGGAGATCAAGGAGAGCGACATCTACCTCAGCTTCCCCTACCAAGTGGGCATTATGTTCGACGAGGCGAACGACAAGCTGCAGAAGCGCTTCGTCGAGATCACCATGGTGTTCCACGTGATGCGCGGCTTGTCCGAGATGCGGGAGCGCGGCGAGGAGATTCCGTGGAACATGGGGTAAGTCGGGTCGCTCTTGCCGTTAAATCATCCCCTGACCGACTCACTGCAGTACCCTGCCCGAGTACCAGGACAAGGTGTTCATCTGCAACTACCGCTTCGTGAAGGAGTTCACCGCCGGTCAGCACTCGGACTGGACGATCAATGTGGCCAACCAGTTTAGGGCCATCGACCTCATCAACGAGAGCAAATAACACCTACTCATGGGCTTCCACCTGCCGCCTCTGTTCGTCGCCCCCTAGCCGATATTAGCCACCCCTTCGTTGGAATTAAAGTTTCGTTTGCCGCATTTAGGTATAAAAAACTAAAATCTTTACTGTGGATCTCTGATTTAAATTAGGTTCATGTGAAATGAGTGCATGTAGCGGTGTAGTTGTGTAGCTGCTTAGCTGTGGATTTGCGGCGAGCCTAGTGTCCCTCGTGCTTAGCCCTGTAGAGGCCTTGGGGATCGTATTTGTCCAGCAGCAGCTTCCACTCTCCGGCCTTGTTGGCGCGCAGGAAGTTGATCACCTTCTGCGAGTTGCGGCGCTGGACATCGGTGCACTTGGAGCAGTCGGACTGCAGGGCGTCGGGCAGCAGGCGCTTCAGCTCGCGGCCCTCCGGCGTGCACGCGCCCTTGTCCATGAGACACTTGAGGTAGTTGTTCAGCACCCGGTTGTTGCCCAGAACCTCGTCCACGTTGACGTTGTCGAACTTGCTGGTGTACTGCTTGTTGCTGGCGGCGGCCGCCAGACCGGCGAGCACGCAAAACACGATGGCTAGTGAGGCTTTCATCTTGAAGGATGTGCTGCAAGGAAAGGCGAGAGATTCAAGTTAGCAACGGCGGGCGAACAAAAACAAAGGGGCTTAGAAGTGGGTCATCTCTTCGCCGGCTGAGCACCGCATCTAGTTAGAAGGCGTCGCCCAGTCTCGGCCTTACTGTCTTCTGGGAATCATCCGAGGCGATCGCTGCGCTGCCCACCTTTGTCATGCATTATTTATGGCCCTTGGCATATATATCGCATATGCATACTAATTGGCGATCGTTTGGTTTCAATATTTTATAAAGAAGATTTCACAATTTAACGACCACGTCGTCTTAGCCGCTTTCGACTTCTATGTGGCTGGTATTTAAGTCCGTGCAGTCCAGTGGACAGTTGCTCTGGTTTACGCAATCGATGCGGGCTTCGCCTGGTTCGCACTCGGCAGCGCGGCTTTCATCGTTTCCTTTGGGCACTCGGGCCAACTAAACACGGCTAGATGGCTTACTCACTTCTCTTCCGGAGGTTTCGGTGGCCTGGGTGGTGCAGTTGTGGTGCGTACAAAGGCGCAGCTTGGATTGCGAGCAGTTAGCCTGTCGGCCTGGCTTTTATACCAGGAGCTTTGACGGCTCCTACACTGAGCGCAATGGCCAGCTCTCCGGCGGCGGGAGCTTTAGCAGGCGGGGAGGCGGCGGGGTTTTTGGCCAAAGTCGCGGCACAGTGTAGACCCAAAGCTGACAAACCGAACCGGATTTTCGATGACTGACTTAAGGTTTTTCAGCCGAATTTCGGCAAGCGGTCTCGACTCTCGAGTCGGCCAGCGGTTCAAAGGGTGGAATGGAATGGGAGTTTTATCACAGATTCATCTCTCACACCCCGATCGTTTGTTTACCCGTTCACGTACGAAATTCGTAGGAAAAGCATTGACGTACGTGAAAATTAAAATTTACATGTCGATTTTGCCAGTCGGTCTTAGTTGCTCCGAGACTCGGAGACCCGCAGCTGCCACTGGAGTTCGCTGGAGTTTGGTTTCCGACTCTTTCCCGACTTAACGAGCGCATTTGGTAGTGCTAACACTGCGGCTGTGTTGTAATCACTTTTATGCATTTCCATTTCCCTTTTAATTATCTTTGGCGTCATGAATCGCACGCACCAGTCTAGACTTAACCAGATTTCGAAAGCTCTTCGGGCGTGTGTGATTTTGTTTTGTTTTGGCGCAGCCCGATCGATTCCAACTGGTCTGGCCTGAGCAATTGGGATTTACCCCCGGCCAGGTGGACATTTTGGACATCTCGCCGTGACTGGGGCTTTTAGTTCGTCCGCACTTGGGACAGAAGCAGAGCTTGCTAATGGAGCTCAGCTCGAGCTGCAGATAATTCTAGTCCGCTGGGGTCGGCGGTAATTGGCCATAAAGCCAAAATACACTTTATACCCTCGTATAATTATGAGCATTGTTACGACTCTGACGCGGGCGACACTGATTCTACGGATCTACTGGATCAGCTCCGCTCGGTCTTGGTCTGACACTGGGTCTGGTCTGGGCTAGGGAGGTCAATAAATCACCGCGTTGACTCTCCACCTGTGACATAACTCTCGTGCCAATTATACAAACAACTTTCGGCTTGTCGGCGCTGATTAACATTTTAATTGGGGCATCCTTAGCCCCGAGCGCTGGGGGTATCGATTTATGCAAATCGAGAGTGTTTGGAAGGGAAAAAAACTCCCTGGCGTGTTTCGGGACAGAGGGTCAGAGGGGCCCGCGGGTCCCGGGGTGGCTTACCTTGAAGTCGGACAGGGCATCAGCATCGCGGCACGGGAAGATCATGAGACATGTGCAAAAGTTCAGGTTCAGGAAGGCGAAGGAGAAGCAAACAAGGCGAAACAAAAGTAAACAAACCGCAAAATCCACAACAACAGGGGCTGAAGAAATACTAACAATAAAAAGTAAATGCACAGATCGAATAAAACGCAAAATAAATCTTCGGCCGGTACGTGCCCAAGATTTCAGTGTCACGCCGCACGGCACAAGAGGCGGGGCGAATCAAACAGAGAGCCGCGACCTCAAACCGCCGGATCGTCGAGTGAGCTGAGGTGGGTGGGGAGCCAGTGGAGGACCGCTTAGACCTGGCCGTCTGACTGGCTGACAGATAAGGTGAAATGAGGCACATTCAATTTTCCTCTTAATCGTATATTACGTAACGGCGAACTACTGATAGTGGGTCAGCAGAAACACCTCTAGCCTAAGCCTAAATCTTGTATACATATATACACGGGTCCAGTCTGGGAAGTAAATCACATCAGTAGACACTATTTGACAGTCACATGAATGGAGGGAGTGGTGGCCTGGAACTTGGTCTCCAGCGCGGTGGCTGCGCCCATGTTGCCGCAGCAGAGCTTGCGGAAGAGACCCATGTAGCCGACGTCGTCGCAGGCCACACGGACCGCCTTCAGGACGCTCCACAGGGCCACCAGCAGGAAGAGCCCCATGCAGTACGGCTGCATGTGTGCCACGAGGTTCACGTTGATCCATATCAGGGCGGTCACGAACCCGGGGAGCTGGCCCATTTCCTGAAAGGGATTGGAGCTTTAGCATACGCCTTGCGAGAGCTGCAGGATGGTACTCACAAACTCGTACCAGAAGCTGGGAATCATCATGTTGCTAAACCTCCTTAAGCGGTTGCTGAACCCCCTGAGATCCGGAATAGGGATGTTGGACTGGAAGCGATACTTTTCCATAACCGGAATGCCAGTGATGGGCTCCAGCAGAATGTAGGGCTCGTGGTCCTCGGCGTTGGGCGTGTATCCCTCGTAGTGCTCGCTCCAGTTGTAGCTGCTCCCGTAGAAGTGTGGCATCGAAAAAGCGGATGGAGCGTCATCTTTGGGGATACAGATTTCGGGGTTACCATATGCCTAAAAGACAAGTTCAACCAAGAGGCGTACTTATCACACACTGGGAAACGTCGAACATCCCGTCGTGCAGCTTGACCCCGTAGCTGGTGTCCAGGCACCCTGGAGGCTTCTGGTTCTCCTGGAGCAGCGTGTAGCGGAAGATGTCAAGGCCGTTGTAGCGCTCCCGGCGCTGGAAGTTGAGCGGAAGGACCCGGCAGGATTCGATGGCCACTATGTCCAGCGGCGTGTCCGGCTGGACAAAGGGGGGGAAGAGGGAGTTGTCCAGCGCTCCGGTCACGTTGAACGGGCACGAACCAGAGTCATATCGGAAGGTGTGAGGACGTTGCTCCCGGATGATCACCTCATTATTGAGGGTCTCGATACGGAAGAAGTTCTCAATGCCGTGCTCCGGTCCGATTTTCACCGAATAGACTTCCTCCTTCTCCTTGAGAGCCTGCGCGAAGAGATTAGCGAGGAACACACAAGAAAAAGGTTTCCGAAACACTTACGTTGTACAGCACGGCGACGTTGGATCTAATGTTGGAAACCTTGGAAATGGATTGCAGAAGAGGACGTGTGAACTCCCACAGAAAGTAGTAGACGCTGTCGGTGACGAAGATGTCCTCCATCATGAGCGCTGCATCAAAACCGAAAGCCGCAATTGGCAACGTGTGCTTAAGTTTTGTCGCTGCGCCCAGTATTACGTTGTTGGTGGACGTTATGGTCCAGTTGAGGACGTCGGGAGCCACGCTCTCCTCCGGGAGGAACTCCACTATGCGGTACCGGTGTTTGCGGTACTTTATGTTTGTCGCGTTGCGCTCCAGGACTTCGTTGAGGCCCACGATCTTGTAAACAATGGGGCCGATCTCCTCAACCTTTAGCTTGCTGTCACGACCGCTCCGGAACTCCTCGGCGTTGGTCACGTTGAAGACGTAGTTCTTCAGCTTCCCGAACGGCGAGTTTATCCAACTGTCCATAGTGGGCATCTCCTGGCGGAAGCGTACATGCTCCCTGGCCACTAGGATCGGGTACTCCACGCCACAAGACATCACAAAGAGGTAGACATTCAGAGCCGCGAGGACCAGGCAGAGCACTATTTTTACCCACTGAGCGAACCGCATTTTTGGGCTAAGTATGGCTTGGACGGAAACCAGAGACCGGAGTGATGTGCGTCCGAGTCCGGGAAAACACGCGATCCGTTTGAGTTTAATTCTAAACGCTTTCGGCAATTGCCTTCCAATCACTTATCACTAGTCTCCGCCTTCCATCCTCCGACCTCCGTTTCATTTAAAACAAAGCGAAATGAAAACAAAGTTTATAAAATCAAATAGCAGAAAGGCTATCAGCAAAGCCAGGGAGCTGATTCTGCTCATGCCAACGCTGGGAATAACAGCGATAACGAGGGATCTCTGACCCAAGCATAGAAGTTGTCCAAAACTTAGATTCGATTCGGCTTGGAGGGAGGGTATGGACTCTTCGTGCAGCCGTACTGCCATACAGCCACCCTCTCCAGACAGACCCCACTGGCTCTGCGCAGACCTTGATGGGTATGCAAAGGTGGCAGGTGTGGATGGCCTGCAATCGAACAGGCGACTCTGTCCTGGGGTTCCGGCAGAGGTGGCCTTATCAGGCACAGACAGAGCCGGCTTCTCTTATCAGTGCGCGGGCATCCGAACGTGCAACGAAACAAATGACTCGCCATTAAAGTCTGGCTTTGGCTGGTCCGTCTGATCTTGTCCAAGCTCGGAATCTCGTATTAATAGACAACTTTATGGCTATGCTGCAGAATCCGGTCTGGCCCATATGTCCGCTTGCAAAGTTCGAGGTACTGTAAATTTCAAATAAACAAAGATTCTGATGACGGTCAATGGGTGCAATGGGGTCAAAACATTTGTTTAACTTTTAAGAGTGCTATACATTTCAAATACTTAACGCTTCTTCAATGGTTGTGCGAGTTGAATGTCGCTTTTTTCAATCTGTTATACTTTTAATCGGTGCCGAATCTTTTATTGTACAAACTAGCACGGTAATCATAACGATAGTAAACAACTTAAAATTAACCCTCTCGTTTAGCACTTATTACTGTAATATTAAACAAAGCGGAATCGTCCGAAATAAATAGTATGTGTTTGAATGAAAATTATTATAATAGCAAATGGGCAGATTTCACTTTCCATTGGGTTGAAGCTGTAAGGTTGCATACTTTTGGGATTAAGCAGAAACCGACTTAATTGCTGCTGCGAAGTCGAAGCTGAAATTCAATTTTAGAGAGTTGAAAACAAAAGTATTTCTCGGCAAGCCTAGATAATATTTTTATTGCCGTTACTCGTAGAGTAAAAGGGTATGGGTAGGGTAAAAATATGAAACAGGTAGAAGGAAGCGTTTCCGGCCCCATAAAGTTTTTATGTTATCCTCGTAAAACAAAGCATTACAATAAATAGCCGTTCCTTGGCCAAAGGTCGCTTTCAGTTCACCTGGTAATTGAAATCGAAAATTGCCCGACAAATTTAATCAAAATCCCCTACAAGCAAATAAAAAAGTCAATAGAAATTATAAATCCAAAATACCTTATTTGCTCGTAGAGAAATCTTTCAAGTAGGTACATTTCTTAACTTCAGGTACCAGGCGAACATAAACGTTTAGCAGGTGTAGAAACGATCAGCTGATTTGTTTAATCAAAGCTAATTGGAGATGCCCTCGTGACTGCTTACTTTCGGCACGGGCTATGCAAATGCATAGGATTTCACTTTTATTTCGTGCATATCGTGACAAGCTCGTGAAACGGCCATAGTAGAGCATCTCTAATCTGCGCTTTGTTCTCGACTAACGGTTGTTTCCCATGGTGATAGATTCCTATTGGTCAGTAGGGGAAGGGAAAATATGGAAAGGGCCGCCATTTTGAAAGTGAACAGTTATTTAAGTTCATTTTTAGCTACCAGCTGTCACCTGCTAAGTTTTCTGTTTGCCTGGTGTCTGAGAGCCATAAATCCAGCATTTTGACAGAAAATATGTTACGGATCCTTTTAATTTACTAAAGTAAACTAGCGATTTTTCAATTTCAAGCACCAGGTGAACAGGAAAGTTAGTAGGTGGCCAACGATTAGTTTTTAAGGCCTATCTAGAGGTGTGCCACTTCAAAATATGTGGGGGCTTTGTTGCCGATTAAGCGATTGCCCATCTCTAGTTTGCTTATTCTAAACTAACGGTTGACTTCCAGTAAGAAAATGTTAGCGCCCAGCAGCCACCTGCTACGAATTATGTTGCCCTGGTGTCAAAGAGCAAGAAATTAGCCGTTAAGCTCGCAAGTGGAGATCAAATTCGTCAAGAAAATTATATTTGCTGAAAATGTTTAAAAATTGAAGCCTGAAACAAGTGTACTCGATTTGGATGAAAATAAGATATTTGATCAGGCACCAGTGCGTATGAGCGACACAATTTCTAAGAATTTAAATTAATTAATAAACATTTTTGCATATTATTATTTCTGTTATTATAATGTTCAATAGTCACCAAGAGCAGAGAGCATTTATAAGCCACTGGCGACCAATTTAAGAGCCTGCAAGCCCTGGATAACAATCATCTCCAAAAATGGGACGGCTTTTGAGGTGTATATGGACGGGTGGTAGATTATGGTCAATGTCTAATTAAAATATTATCGTAGTTTATTGTACACATTAATGCATATAAATTGTACATTCGATCGATAGAATTATGTATTTATAGAATATAAATTTTCTATGCGGAGCTTGTCCTGCATTTGGTCTAATGAAGCACATTTGTATTCGAGGACGGAAGTTTGTTTTATTTGAGAAACGTTTCGAGATTTGTGACTTGATTATCTGGACATCAAATTTCAGTTTTAACAGGGTAATAGAAAGCAAGTACGGGATTGGATTTCCGTTTTGGTATAACAAATAGAAGTCTAAGTCGAAGCTTTGAGCCGTTAAGCGATCACGACTGATTCGTTAGACTACACATCAAAATTTTCATAACGCTTACTTACAAAGATAACCTACATACAATACAATAGATACAGATACACATACAAATACATACAAGTCTTCCCAGCTCCATTTCTTCTAAACTACAGAGACGCACATTCCCCTTCGGGCATGGGATTGGGATTTGGGATTGGGAGTGGGGGTGGGAATGGACTTGGTAGTGGGGATTTGGGATTGGAAGTGGGATGGGCTAGTCCCAGTTCCTAGCTACGGCTTATACTAAACTAAGACACCTAGAGAACCCTCGGACTGCGACCAGACTCCGACTAGAGCGCCTAGTATCTGGCGGGTTGGTTATCCTTGTTCTGCTTCTTGTTCATGTCCACCTGGGCGGTGGCCAGGTAGTTGGAACCCTCCAGGTGCAGGGTGCTCTGCCGGTGTGAGTTGCGGATAAGGCAGAAGGTCGACAGCAGCAGCAGGATCACGCCCAGGGCGCACAGGCCCACGATGAGCGCCACGCGGATCTTGGGCGGCACCTGCTCTGCGAAGCGCATCAGGTCGGTGACCTCGTCGGGCAGGTTGTCGATGCCCTCCTCGAACCACAGGATGGGGAAGATGATGTCCGGGAAGTTGGCCACCTGCTTGATGTCGAACACCTGGCTCACGGCCAAATTGATCTGGATACGGGCGCGCACTCTCAGTGTGGTTCCCATTTTCTGCATATTTATATAATACATACAGTATATGTTGAAGGTTATTGATTTTAAGGACTTACAGGCTGAACGTCGAAGAAGAACTGGTGCTTTTCCTTCATGGGCGGGGAAATACCCTCCACTTGGGTCCGCAGACTTTCGTCGGCCAGATAGAAATGGGGGAAACTCAGCATGATGGGAGAATCTGCAGAAGACTTTATTTAAGCACTCAACAGAGATTAGATCCTAAATGCATTCTCACCGTATTGGCAGAGGGAGACGTTGAAGAGTCCGTTGGGGGAGCACGAGGGCTTGCCTGCGGGGCAGAAGCACATGTTGTCCGGGTGGCTGTCCACGTCGGCGAAGACCCACTCCGGTGGGGTGAAGCGGTATCCGGGCACCTCGTTGGAGGTCGTCACCTCCTTTTCGAACACCAAGGGCAGCAGGCGGCACAGGTCCTTGTCGTACACATGCAGGATGCGGTCGTGGGTGATGTGGGGGGGGAAGATGGAGCCATCGGTTCCGGCCAGGGTGTTGCACGCGTCGGTGGTCCAGTGGGGCAGGTGGGTGCGCCCGTTGAAGTTGTCGATGATGCCGTACTTTTCAATGTCGTCCACGCCTGTGTTCACAGTGACGCGGTCGGAGGAGGTGCCGTTCTTGCCGTACAGCAGGCCGAACTCCTCGTAGGGCAGCTTCTGCTCCTTGGGCACCACGTCCTTGGCCAGTTTGAGCAGCGGGTCCTCGTAGCCCCACAGCAGCTGGCCCACGGACACCTGGACGAACGGCTTGATCTTCAGTATGTCCATGATGCTGGCCATGGCCAGACGCAGGAACCTGAACCAGACAAGATCAGGGTCAATCCAGGGGCTCCATGGTCAGGAGGTCAAACGCTTACCTGGCCGCGTGCTTGCTCTGCGAGGTGGCACTCAGCATGGGAATGTTGGGCACAATAACCACGTCGTCTTCGGGACCCACCGAGAGATCTTCGCGGAACGAGTAGATCTTGCGCAGATTGTAGCTCAGCGTGCCATTGTCATTCTCTACGATGTTTACCTTTTCCCAGGTCTCGCTGCAGACGGGGTATGGAATTTAGACTGATGTCATATTCGCTACAATTGAAGATCACTTACCTGTAAACGTAGGGCCCCACCTCATCGACAATGGCCTTGGAGCCGTTGCTGAGGAAGTCGTCCGCATTGGTGACATTGTAGATATACAGGCTGATTCTGGGCTCCACCGGAGGCTTGGCCCACCAGCCGAAGGTCTTGGCGCCGGGACGCAGGGCCACCATGCGGTCCACGACTGCATCGATCAGCACGGAGAATTCACAGGCCACCACAATGCCGCCAATTATCAGCGCCGACGCCACGACGATCGTAATCCCTGGAAAAGCAAAGTGAATTGTTGAACAATTGTTCACCGAATGCATAAATTACTAAATAAATGCGGTGAGTCACTTGATATTGGGTGGGGAAACGTGTGGAAAGT